TTTTTTTTTTTTTTTTTTTTTTTTTTTCCAGTGGGTGGGTGGAGCGGTATGAGGAAAGAAGAAAGGACAGGAAAGAGACTGGGCAGAAAGCCATGCTATAATATTAAAATTGGGCCGATTGGACAAGATTGCATAAATCCCCATGCCATCTTTCTTTGGCCCAACTGATTTAATAGCTAATGAGCTCATGCTCCCATGTCTTCAACTCTTGCCATCATGATTTTACCAAAATGAAGTATGAAGTCCTTTTTGCATCTGGCATCCCTTTTGAAGTGATTCTAACTGCTTAGAGATTGCTAACTGAACTGAATGCCTCAAGAAAGCCAATTTACTCAGCTGGTTGCAAAGCCTTTGACCTCGATGGTGGGACTTGGCAAATCAATGCATACACGTATGTTTAGTGTTCTGTCAAGAATTGCGAAAATGCTCTCTAAGCCATAGATCCTTCTGCAAAAAACTAGTTTGTAGTTTAAACATTAGTCTTTCTTCAGAGGCCAATGAGGCTAGTTAATTAAGCCTGAGGGGTTATGAACTGTTGGCAGTTAATAAGTCATAAAATTCCTCCATAAAACAGGATGCGAGATTCCATCACTGAAGCAAAGAGTACAAAGAGCCGGTGTATAAATATCTAATTGTACCAAAGGACTGGGCTTTCTCAATGACTGCTCATCTGGAGTCTCCAGGGCATGCTCACTGTGGTTTCCTGATTTTTTAGAAGCCAGTTTAAAAAATGAGTGCATTAAAGGGTAATTTGCCTGAAAGTTCAGGAAGTAAAGGGGGGTGGTATGGAAGCAGGCAGAAAGAGAGAAACAAAAAGAGAGACATAGCGAGAAGATAAAATGAGAAGGATGATGGGGTAAAAAGACAAGGAACTAAAAATCAGAAAGGTTGTCTCCACATGGACTTAGTCATGACTGTATTTGTCATCTGTTTTCTTTTCCCTGTAGGATGTTCACCATGGAAACGGTACACAGCAGGCCTTTTATGCTGACCCCAGCATCCTGTATATTTCACTCCATCGCTATGATGAAGGGAACTTTTTCCCTGGCAGTGGAGCCCCAAATGAGGTTCGGTTTATTTCTTTAGAGCCCCACTTTTATTTGTATCTTTCAGGTAATTGCATTGCATGATTACCCCTAATTTTCTTGTCCTTTGCTGGTGTTTTAAATTACACGAGATTACTGAACTGTCTCCCGGGACCAAGAACCAGTGCAGAACAAGTGCATAACCCAGAGCACTGGTTGTCAAGCAAAGATGGCCTGATTTGACATGTTGTTTGATGTTTATTTTAAGAGTTCACATGTGTTTGTTTTTCTCTCTTCTTGCTTTCTTCCATTTGCCTGCTTCTCTACCCATGGTGGTGCATTTTCCTTTTCCCAGGTTGGAACTGGTCTTGGAGAAGGTTACAATATAAATATTGCCTGGACAGGTGGCCTCGATCCTCCCATGGGAGATACTGAGTACCTAGAAGCATTCAGGTTGGTAGTTCCATGACGAATTGGAAAACATGTCCATCGAAGCCCTACCAAATCTAAAAGAGAAAGGAATATTTCTAACATTAAGATAAAGAGGCCAAAATGAGCTGGCATATTAGAGCTTCAAATAAATGTTTGATTTTTATCAATATTGCTATATAGGCACATAAGAAATATATGTGAAAAACCAAAAAATATGATCATTTGAAACCTAGTTTTAGCTACACAGGTATTCGAAAAGACTTCCAAAAGTCCATGGGAAAATGAAATGAAAAGATAATGGCATTTTTCCACAAACTTTCTGAAAACTCCTTGTCTTGGCCAATAATCCATTCATGCTCTATCTCCTGCTCCCTGGAAAGATTATTAAATAGTTTTGAAAAATTATTCATATATATCACAAGATTTATGATGGACATTAGCATATTAAATGCTCCCAGAAGTCTTTCAGTACTTATTTAATATTCTTGAACAAACATTTCACAAACATTATCAGAGCACAGAATTCTTTTTTACACGTAGCACTACTTAGCAGTCCTACCTCTTAGGAGTAAACTCACTTTAACAAATATTGGCTGGCCTGGGCAATCTCATTTGATGGTAGAGTAAATGACTTTTGTCTCACTAAAACGTCAACTAACTAATTGGTTGTTTTCAGTTATTCTACAAAAATGTAGGTCATAAATGTACTGTATATTTTTATATACACAATGCATTCTGCTATGTTTTCCTAATCAAAGACCATTCAAAATTAATTTAAGCAAGAAAAAAAAAAAAAGACATTCCTTTTCTGTAATTAGAAAAATGAATACTTCGAAAGGCCTCTGTTTTAAAGAGAAATATCAGATTGTGGCATTATAGGCGTCACTTGCATTTTCACCTGTAGGAAATGCATAATTTTTCAATAGCTTGATTAATTGAAAGAAAATGCAAATAGCTATATGATAAGAAATTTTTGAAGTATTCATAGCTTTGAAACTTACCATTTACAAATTCCCATGGGAAAATCCTGTCTGTTGCTAATGTGTTATGCATAGTTAACTTTCTCATTACAGTGTCATTCTCATTTTTCATTAGAAGCCAGGGCTTGGATAACTGATAAAAAATATACATTTTTTTTCAAAAAAATGCATTGAAATAAAAAAATATTTGGCTTGGAATTCCTAGATAAGGGTGAGTCAAATAGTATTGCTAAAAATCATAGAATATTTTATAAAACAAAAATGTCTAAATGTGGAGCTTTTATTTCTCAAAGTATATTCCAACTATACACTTCTAAAGGCAGTGTTTCCATTTCTATAACCCTTCCCCAAAGAATTCTGTATTCTTTGATTGATACCACATCAGAAATGGCAGTTTTGGCATCCTTGAAGGACACAAATTGTGTTCCTTTGAGTTTGAGGAACCAATAGAATTCTGAAGGGGCAAGACTAGAGCTTTAGGGTAGATGACTTAAGGATTCCAATGAAACTCTCATAGGACAGCCTTTGTTACCCTCAAAACATGAGCAAGTATAACTTTTTGAAAAATATTTCTTCATGCAACTCCCCTGACCTTTAGTTCACCATTGCAGTTATCAGTTTTCTTAAAACTTCATCATAATAAACCCTTGTTATTGTTGCATATCTTTTGAGATAATCTATCAATATTACTTATCCCTTGGGAATCTACCTTAAATTTAACTGGCCAGCCACATCCCCGCAGAAGCTGCTGTTTGCCTTGGGCATTCTTTTTGAAGGCACCCTGAAGAAACTAAGATAAATGTATTACTGAGAGACTATGTCTACAGCTAAGGTTGGCAGTTCAAATCCACCAGCCATTCCTTGGAAACTTTATATGGGGAAGCTATGAGTCGGTACTGACTTGACAATACTAAACAACAATAAGAAAATCCCCTGATTGCAGAGACATGTTTAAACATGTTTTGTTTGGGATAAACCTGTGATGTCTGAACTGGAATTTGAGTAGCAATACTTTTTGATTTACCCTTGTATAAGATAATTCTACTCATTTTCCTGATTTTTACTTTGGATATACAAGGATGAGTCAAAAAATATCTGCAATCTGGTTATATTTAAATGCCATGGAACACTATCAGAGAAAAGTTTAAAAAATCAACATTACATATTACAGTGAGATGCTTGCTGAACAGCTGAAGCCCAAACTTCAGATTAAATGCAGAGGACTGTTATCCAAGGGCACTGTGATCTTGCATTACAATGCACTTCCAAAACACCTCTGCTCACACTGTTGATATTCTACAAAAACTTCATTTTGAAGGTGTTAAAGCATCCTCCCTATAGTCCTGATCTTGCTCCATTGGACTATCTATCACCTGGTTGGTCCCCTAAAAGCATCCCTTCAAGGATGAAGATTCACCTCTGATGAAGAAGTGAAGACAGTGGTACATTTATGGCTCACAGCTCAGCCTAAAACCTTTTTAATAAGGGATTACAAAACCTTTATAGGGTTTCCATGGCTATAGATATTACAGAAATCTCTCTCTCTCTAGATATATAAATATCTAGATAGAGATATCTAGATATATCTAGATATAGATATAGATATGAGAGAGAGAGGGTGTCCTGGTGTGATGCTGTAGTATAAACACTGGACTGCTAACAACAAGGTCATCAGTTCAAATGCACCAGTTGCTCCTTAGAAATCCTATAAAGGGTTGCTGTGAGTCAGAACTGACTCAACAACAATATATATATATATATTGTTGTTGTTGTTGTTAAGTGCCGTCAAGTCGGTTCTGACCCATAGCGACCCTGTACAGGGTTTCCAAGGGTGTAAATCCTTACGGGAGTAGAAAGCCTCATCTTTCTCCCGTGGACCTGATTCGTAACCACTATGCTACCAGAGCTCCATATATACACATATATATGTGTATACACACACACACACACACACACACACACACACACACACATATACATATACATACACACACACACACATACACATGAGTCCTGTTGTGGCGCTGTGGGTTAATGCCCTGGACTACAAGCTTGGTTTGAGCAGCAAAGTCAGCAATTCAAGCTCACCAGGCTCCTTGGAAACCTTATACAGGGTCACTATGAGTTGGAACTGAAACAACAGCATTTAATAACAACAGTAACATATGCACACAAGGGTGAGTCAAAATTTATCCACACTCTGGCTGTGGAATTTATTGTAATCAACTTCGATAAAAGACAAATACATTTTTGTCGTCATCTCCTTGTTTTTCAATATACTTTGTCTATCTGTAAACAAGGTCAGTTTAAACCACAGGGTTAGTGGTTCAAACCCACCAACCGCTCCTCGGAAACCCTGTACAGGGTCGCTATGCATTAGAACTGACTAGAAGGTGCTTACACAACTAGAAGGTGCTTACACAGCAACACACACACACACACACACACACACACATATATGTTGTTATTATCATTAAGTGCTGTTGAGTTGGTTTGGATACATAGCGACCCTGTCTAGGTTTTCGGAAGCTGTAAATCTTAATGAAGCAGAACACCTCATCTTTCTCCCATGTAGCAGCTGATTGGCTTGAACTGTTGACTTTGTGGTTCAGAACCCATGCTTACCCTACAGCCAGCACACTCCCACATATGCATATATCTACAAGAAGTAAAGGAAAAAAGTAGTTGAAGTTTACTTACTTTTAAACATGGGTTGCCTATTAAGATATTTAGGATCAATTAAGAAACAATACAAGTATTAAAATTATGATTTCTATTTGGCTGCTTTTGAAAATTAACAGATATTATTAATGGTTAAACTCTAATGATATACTAGAATTCAGTATACATTTTTTTATTCCTGATATAATGTTAAATTAAAAGAGAGACTTCAAATAATTTTTATATAGTAATTAATATTTTATTAACCTGATCTTCCTAGTTAACCTGGTAATTTGCATATCATATACATTAACTTGCTAGTCTTACTATAATGATATGGTATAACCATTTATCTTTAATGCAAAATAATTGGATTTTTTAATGCTTGTACATTGTGATACTAGATGTAGTACTTTACATAAAAATGGATTGCATAAGTTCAGCAGAGAAGCACACATTTTCGTAAAAAGAATTTTTTTTAAGAAAATAACATTGTGAAAATCATTTTCATTGAATAAAGTACCTGCAGATCAATGTTTTGTGAATTAAATGTTTGTGAAAGTGGCTAAGTGTCCTAAAACATTACACTTTCTCATTCCTTTGAATGTTGGTCTCCTTACACTGGCAAAGTTGTCTAAACTTCCTATTGCATTTAACATACCACAAAGATCAGGTTTATAGAAGATGCCCCCTTATTTAATTGTTGTTGTTAAATGCCGTTGAGTTGATTGTGGCTCAGAGTGACCTTATGTAGGGTTTCCAAGGTATTGCTAGTGGGTTTCAACAGTCATCCTTGCTGTTAGCAGTCCAGTGCTTGTCTAACAGTGCCACACCAGGACTCCATTATTTAATTAGGCTGCAGAAATTTAAATTGTGACTTTAAGCATTCATAGTTAGTTAAAAATAATATCTAAATAATGATAATTCTGTTGGCTATGATACTATATGATGTTTGCTATTCAACACATATGTCTAGAAGTGCTTGTGAATTAGTTGTGGATAAATGAAGAAGTTAAGTCATTCATTCAAAATACATTTATTGAGCACCTATTATAAACCAAGGATTGAGGTAAGCTCTTGGAATTAAAAACTGTCTTTGCTCTCAGGTTCATGTTGTTGTTAAGTGCCATCTAGTCAGTTTCAACTCAAAGCAACCCTGTTTAGGGTTTCTGAGGCTATAAATGTTCATGGGAGAAGAAAGTCTCATCTTTCTCCTGTGGAGCAGCTGATGGACTTGAACCACCAACCTCATGGTTCACAGCCCTGTACTTATCCTTCAGAGTCACTACACTCCCTCTCAGGGCCATGCTAAAGTGGCAATGGATGTTTTAGAGAACAAATGGATTTTGAGATAGAGACAGTAAAATGATTAGATCTTTC